GCGCTGAGCGGGTGCACTTCAGCGGGTGTTCTTAACTTTTGGCATGCGTGTGTGCAGCGCTGAGCGGGTGCACTTCAGCGGGTGTTCTTACCATTTGGCATGCGTGTGTGCAGCGCTGAGCGGGTGCACTTCAGCGGGTGTTCTTACCATTTGGCATGCGTGTGTGCAGCGCTGAGCGGGTGCACTTCAGCGGGTGTTCTTACCATTTGGCATGCGTGTGTGCAGCGCTGAGCGGGTGCACTTCAGCGGGTGTTCTTACCATTTGGCATGCGTGTGTGCAGCGCTGAGCGGGTGCACTTCAGCGGGTGTTCTTACCATTTGGCATGCGTGTGTGCAGCGCTGAGCGGGTGCACTTCAGCGGGTGTTCTTACCATGTTGGCGGGGGTAAAACCACTTCGACTTGCGGGTGGGTAAATACCCGGTACTGTACCTAGTTGGGATCCTTGTCAACTGCTACAGTGCAAGCGACATCAGACACCCTCTCGAGGCAAGGAGCAACAAAAAGGCTTCGGGATTCCCATTCAAAGAATGGCCCAAGGGACCCAATTTAGATGATGGGTTTCTCCTCAAGAGTAAACAATGGTGGTGAAATATAAACCCAACCCTTGCTTCAATGGTGGTTTGATCCCGATTCTGTTAGGCATCTCGTTCCAAAAAGCCTTGAAACCACCAAATGGTAGACCCTCCCACCTAGGTGTGTCGTCTTCTTCAGAAACCCCCAACATGGTAGGGGTATCCGTTTGGTATCCCTTTGAAACCCACAAAAGGGGGAGTACCAACTCCAAACAAAGGGCACCTCCACTTGGGTCGAGGGCACCGTAGATGTTCAGCGTGAGGGCGCTCGCGAGGCCCATCCCGCAAAGTGGAATGCCCACTTGCAGACTCTGCGGCACGAAGAAGCGGTTCGCAGAAACCGTGTTCCTCGCGAGGACCCGCGTTCCTAAAACGGTGGGTTGTCCTTTGGGTGTCCCTTTCAAACTTATCACAAAGGGGTTCCCTCAAATTCGGACATGCACATAGGGTTGACCCGAATTCCTAAAACGGTGGGGCTGTCCTTTGAAGTCCTTTGGGTGTCCCTTTCAAGCCCACCACAAAGGGGTTCCCTCAAAAACAGACATGAACATATGGTCAATATGGCTTAATCCCTAGGGTTTCACATAGGTGGCCTTTTTGGCAAGACTAGATGACCCTGGCAAACGGAATAATTTAACCTATCTAACCCAGTGCCATCAATTGTAATCAAACTAACCTGAAGAGGACACCTATGGAGAAGCAGTCACCCGAACGAGTTCAACCGATTCCCACTAAACGAAAGACAACCAAGGACCCATTTACATGCCAAGCCTGAAAGATTAACATGGAAGCCTACCAACCATCATTTGTAGAGGATACTCCTTTTGGGAATCGGACCTTTGATTTTGGTTCCTTCCGCTAATTTGTACTTGGGTGTTCGGCCAAGATAATAAGTTGCTAGTAACCTGAGCTATAACTTGGTTATAAGCTCCAAGCAGGATTAAACCGAATAGTGGGCTGTACTCTAGGTGGCCATATCCACCTAATTTGGCGAAACGAGCACTCAGGTAGGGGAGTAAACCTCCATGTGCGTTTGTTACGTCCCCTGGAAACATATAGAACATACTTACTGAAATTGATTGCCTTTAAAGCCAACAGCAGACAATGAACAAATATTCAATTCACCAAATGGAAGAAATACAAGGTGATCACCTTTTGAAACCTTGACTGCCCCAGACTCGTCTGGACCCCTTTGGAAAATAAAACTAAAAAACCACATTTCACCACACTCAGAGACACACCCATCGGCTTGGAAGGCGCTTCGAGTTCGAGTCGCTCTCCGCCGCAAGAAGCCGAGACGCTGAAGCTCAGTCTGCAAGGCGTTGGACACGATGTACAGCACCTGAAAGCCGGCGACTCTTGGATGTTCTTTGACGTCAGGCAGGTTATAATGGTAAGGGGACCAACCAACCAGTTGCCCTTACCTGACGTTGGCACGCACAAATACAATTTGATTTAGAGCATCCTTCTCCAAACCAGGTCAGTTTCGGGTGTATCCAAGTAGTTGACCATCCAAGTGGAAGGCCTAAGAACTTGATCGGCAGGTACGGAAGGAACATAGTGGTCAAACATATGACCAGTTCCTTCTCGGCCCCCGTGCCGCCGGTAGGTGCCATGTTCGTGATAGCAGAAAAATGGCCCCTACTTCTTGGGCAACCCGCATGAATACCGTGTGTGTGTGTGTGTGTCAAAAAACGGAATCGGACACTCCAAAATTGGTGGTGTCCTTTTGTTTTCCCTTCCTAACCCTGAAAAGGCCACTGGTTAAACCAATACTGCCAACTACCGCGTCGCCGTAAATCGCAAGGAATCACATAGCCATAGCCAAAAGAAGCGCCCAGCCTCTTGGGAACCCGCAATTTACCGGCTTCTACTTGGATGTTTGATTCGCCAAGTTAGTAAGTGGAAAAGGCCATCCGGATTACAACCCAACAACAAGGTCAACTCCACTGCACGGGGCCGTTTTTGACTGGGTTATAACACCCAAGTAGCTACTTGGATGTTCGTTGCCAACGGGTACGTCGGTTGTAACCACAGTTTACTGAGGGCAACTCCAACCCCCTGGGTTCCATGTAAAGCCTCTCTTCATGAGATTGAAACCATTAAACAGTGGTTGGTTTCATGTAGCCATTCCTTACCGTTCAGGGTCCTTGCCATTGTTTTAGTGGGGTTGGACTCTAGGGTTAAGCCTCCCCGAAGGATATAAATATGTGAACACCCAATCCTATTGAAACTAGAAATCCCCTGGTTTTCCAGAGCTACAGCAACGCTTATCGCGATCCTGCGTCTTTTTGTTTGAGGCTTTTGGGACCCGTTGGTGTTGGCGGACGTGAAAGGAGAACCATGCCCTTTTTCGGGGGGTCCGATTCCTATTTGGAGACAAACCCTTTTTCTAGGGCTACCTTCCCCATTGCTTCCAGGGATCCTTCTTTTCAGGAAACCCTCAAAAACCCAGGGAAACAGATCCATTTTTTGCAAAGAACCTTGGTTGAAAAGAATGGCAAAGGAATCAACCCTAAAATTTTGTCCCTGACCTCTGAACTTCTGAACCTCCGAGCCTGCGCCTGCCTCTTTTTTTTTGGGGGGGGGACATCCCCTCGTCCGAAAACCGAGGCGAGGGGCGGGCAGGCAGTACTTCATGAGCCCGCCGGACTGGGCCGCGGCCTGGCTGCAGCTTCGGTTTGGTGGTTCTCGAGTGGGTTACTGGGCCCGATGTCCGATCCGCTAAAAGCTGAACTTTTGAGTGGGCGAAATGGAAACTATTCACTGAACTGGGCGGCCCGGTTTCCGTTCCCCCGCTAAAAGGGAATACCTTTTAGCGCATAGGTGTCCTTTTAGGGGAAATAGATGACCCTGGTAGATGATGAAACCACCAGGTAAACCAGGTTCTCAGGGAGTGACTTGGAATGAGGTTCCGAGTTGGTTTCCTTTGACAATATCCCATTTTGGGGGATTGGTGAATTCACCACCCATTTTAGAACCTATTTTAGTGGTTGGATTGGAATGTTCACTGAGGGTACGATTTGGCTTTTGACCCATGACCATTTGTTGTCTGCAGATTTGAGGGAATCCACTTCCGGTTCGTATGCTCAACACCCAGCTCAGGGAGTGGGTTGGTACTGGGCTGCCCGATGTCCGATCCGCTAAAAGCTGAACTTTTGAGTGGGCGAAATGGAAACTATTCACTGAACTGGGCGGCCCGGTTTCCGTTCCCGCGCTAAAAGGGAATACCTTTTAGCGCATAGGTGTCCTTTTAGGGGAAATAGATGACCCTGGTAGATGATGAAACCACCAGGTAAACCAGGTTCTCAGGGAGTGACTTGGAATGAGGTTCCGAGTTGGTTTCCTTTGACAATATCCCATTTTGGGGGATTGGTGAATTCACCACCCATTTTAGAACCTATTTTAGTGGTTGGATTGGAATGTTCACTGAGGGTACGATTTGGCTTTTGACCCATGACCATTTGTTGTCTGCAGATTTGAGGGAATCCACTTCCGGTTCGTATGCTCAACACCCAGCTCAGGGAGTGGGTTGGTACTGGGCTGCCCGATTTCCGATCCGCTAAAAGCTGAACTTTTGAGTGGGCGAAATGGAAACTATTCACTAAACTGGGCGGCCCGTCTTCCGATCCCCCGCGAAAAGGGACTAACTTTTAGTGGGTGAAATTCGGAAACTACCGCTAAAAAGATCTAAAATTAAAAGATCTAAAAAGATCTAAAAGGCTGGAAAGCTAAGGAACCGGATGGCTGGGAACCACCAAGTTGTGTGGTTCTCAGGGAGTGAGTTGGAATGAGCCCGAGAGAAGCCCATCCGGTTGCGCAAAGGGGTTTCCTTCGAGGAATCCACTTCCGGAATTCATTCTCAACACCTCGCTCATTGCCTGAGCACCAGCAAGCGTGGCTTGGATTGGCGGTTTGGAGGTTCGGGTGTACCTTCCCTGTGGTTTCAGAAGGTCGGGTTCAAAGCCCCCCACCATCCCACTGGAGGCAGTCCCTCACATACCATGGGTTGCCCGCCTGAAGGTTCGAGGCATAGTGTGTTCCACCTTTTTACGTGAGCGGATGGGAGGTTTTCTTTACTCGGTTGCTTTCTGCCCCCCTGCTAAAAGTCTGTGGAAAACCCATTCGTTGGCAAAAAGTTAAAGTCCTAACATCCAAGCAACATGCACCAAAGTTTAAGAAATCCCAGGAAATACCTTCCGTGAGCAGAACCTACCCCAGCCACCAATCCACTGGAGGCGCTAGGTGCCTCACATACCCTCCCACCAGTCAGTGGGTTACCTGGCTCGAGATCCTCTGAGGGAGAGTGCCTTCCATCCCCAAGGCAAGGTAGAAACCAAATGTCACAGGGATCCGGGTGGCCCGAACGCTTGGACCCAGAGTGGATCTCATCTGTGAGCTCAGCTTCCCCCCCCTGGAGAAGACTTGGTACTAGGGCCTCAAAAACCTGTGATTGTATCGTGCCTACCTTGCAAAACATCGTAAAAAGGGTGACAACGAACCTCCAGCAGCACCTGTCTTGCCAATAGCCCAAGCGCAGGATCACGAGAAGAAGGATAAGAACGGCAAAGGCAGTGGAAAGAGCGTTTCCCCGAAAAAGACTGCATGCGTTTCTTGGGTGTGACATGTTCATCGGCCTTTTTAGGGGGGCTCCTGGAGTTTCTACAAAAAAGAACTCGCCCGGGGCGGACATCCGGACTGGAAGCCCGAAATGGACATCAGGATTCGGGGAGCGTCTGCAAGCCGGGCGGAGGTTCCTTGCTCAATAGCAATCAAGATATTTAGGTGTGTGTTTTTGGATTTGGGTTGTCCTGTTGGTTTCCCTTTAAAACCCATGAAAAAGGGTATCCACGGCTGGAAATTGAGGTTCCAACTCTGAAGATCACATCGAAAAGCCTAGGAGAAGCTAAGAATATAAACCCCGGACACGGCCTTCCTGCAAATCCTCTACCCTAGGTGCCCCCCAATAGGGTTTAATGGTGGATTGAATCCCAGGCTATCCCATACTCTAGGATTCAACCCGCATGAAAAGACGGACAAGGACCCAATTTAGAGGATGAAACTAAACTCCCGGACGGTAAACAATGGCGAAATATGAATCCAACGCAATATGTTTACACTTGTGGTTTGAATACCAGGGTGTTTATATGACCCCGCCCCCCCAATAGGTTTCATGGTGGATTGAATTCCAGGGTAGACGCTTATACACCCAAGCCTAATAAAGGCCATGTTGGTGCTATCGCTGCCCAAGATCCCCCCGAGGACCATCCTCCGAATCGACCCGGCCTCCGGGGTTCGCGTCTGAGTCCGTTCCCGGCAGAAGAAGCGCCGCACGCTCTGAATCCCGCCCACCTCCTGGGACGAGAACCATGTACGACGAGGGGTTGGTTTGAAGGGAAACAAAGGGGGACCGAAGGGCCACGTGTTCTTGACAAAGCGTCCACATCTTCATACTGTATGTCCTTGTTTAGGGTCTCAGTCTCTCTTCACCTGGTGCGATATGTGGGGAATGACCGTCCGGGTGTTGGGAATGAAACGGAAGGGGATTCCCTTCAAGGAAAACATAGGAACGAAAGGATGGCTTTTTCTGGTGCCATGGACACGAGTCTATGTTGCTTGCCGAAACCAATATCCAAGCTGCAAAGTAGACCCCCTTCAGTGCACTATACCTCCCCCCCCCACAAAAAAAACGGGAAACAAAACATGTTGTTGCTTGAAGTCGGCCTCTCCTCCGCACCTTCCCTCCCCTCCCCCTCCCCTCCCCCTCCCCCTCCCCATCCCCTCCTCTTCCCCTCCCCATATCCCCTCCCCATCCCCTCCCCATCTCCTCCCATCCCCTCACCATCCCCTCACCATCCCCTCCCCATCCCCTCCCCCCTCAAACAAACAAACAAACCCATACCCAACACCCCAAACAAGGCTGCAAAGTAGACCCCCTTTTATGTGCACTGTACTTCCCCCCCCACAAAAAAAAAGCACAATAATAATAAAACACATGTTGTTTCTTTGTTGTTGCTTGAAGTCGGCCCCGCCTCCAAACCCATCCCCCCTCTCCCCCCTCTCAAAAGAAACAAACAAAGATAGGAACGCCTGACCCACTTTCCCAAAGGACCTGGAAGGGAGGCCTCTTTTTTAGTCAGAATTCCTTACGGTGACCTTTCTGCTTGATTGCCGGCATCGGGGGTTACTAACCAGGGGTCAACATTCTCCCCCGATTCCCCTTTTCTTACACAAGGTTCACTTTTCGGAACCGAGGTTCCAACAAATAGGTCCGATCCGGTCGATTCGCTTTGGGCCGAGGCAGCAAAGTGTGTCTTCCCCCCCAAAGGTGGCCCTAAACCTTTGAATCAAACCTGGCAAACAGCCAAACCAAGTCCGCCGGTTCGAGATGGGTTCGGGGACACCTGCTCCAAAGGCCTGTTTTTCAGGGGTAGTCTACTAAACAAGGAAGCATTCATTTGCCATGGAAACCCAGGTTTTCTAAAAGAACACCTCCTTTTGTGGGCCGCTGCATCCCCAAAAAGTTAAAGCCCAAAGATCCGTTGCCAAATCGCCAGAAAGTAAGCAAGTGGGCAGCTGGGCCTCGAATCGATTCGATTGGGTGTACTTGAGGGCGTCCAAGCTTCTTCACGTGGGCGTAGACAAAGCAAGCCATCCATTGTCAAATCCCAATTTTGAACGGAATTCAACCAAATCCAACAAATTTGGGCACGTCCTTTTCGCATTTTTCTCCATTTTGGTTCGCGTCCCGGTCCAACTTCCCCATTTTTTGTTGGGCTACGTCGAGGTTTTTTTTCTTCGCAGGTCTCTCCTCCTGCGCGGGAACGCCGGAGGCCTCCCGGATCGCCTTCATGTTCAGGCGCCCCGTCTGGAAAAGCACCTGACATGGCTTTCCCGAATCGCCCGAATCGCTCGGAGGAGAGACCTGGTACCGGTCTGATGGCCTGTACCGGTCTGGTCTGGTCTGGTGGCCGGTTAAGGGGTGGTTTCCCATTTAGCTTCTACCAGAAACCTGGGTTCAAATCCAAATCGCCCCTCTTTTGATTCAACCACAACCCATCGACCTTGTTCTTGGGGGGACGGTCCCTTTGGATTCCTTTAAAGTCCACCCCAAAGAGGGTAGCCTCACCTCAAACAACAAACAGACCCAAAGAGGAGAGACCTGTTACCGGCGACAATTGTTGACCCCATAAATCAACCAACCAGTTTAGTTTTATAGGGGGGGTGCGCGTCTCCCCGGGTGAAATGTGGGGAATCATCATTTGGTGACATGGCTGTGACCAAATCACCCCTTAGAGGAGAGACCTTTTGATGCAACAACAACCAATCGACCTCCCCTTGAAGGGGAAAACACAATGTCAGGGGCCCTAACTGTCAACTCCCCCAAACAGTTTCTGAATTCACATGATCTGTCTGTGGATGTTCGGCCAAGCTAGTAGGTGGTTGGCCACCTGGGTTATAACCCAGTAATTTCAAAATGAACTCCATTTAGGGGATCTATAAGCGGGTCAATAGCTGGGCTACTACCAACTTACTAACTTGGCCTCACGCCCAAGTGGGTGTGTGTTGCAAACTCCGTTTCTTTGGCCTATGGTCATTGCTCCTCGGTTGCTTTCTGCTCCCCTGCTAAAAGTGAATAACTCTTATATAGTGGTTTAGTTCGGAAAACCAATTCATTAGTTGGCAAAAAGTTCTCAAGTCCTAACAGCCCTTGGCAAAATGCCTCCCAAAGGCTCCCTTACTCGGAACCACGTTCTCACGGTCATTGAGGATCCTTGCTACGTGGACGACCGTCCCTGTTGGCCCGAAGCAATCGGATCTTACCTCGCGTATTCCGGTCGAAGGACAGAGACGACCTCAGTGGGTTCCTGCCCCACCGGTTCTTCATGCGTGCTCATGTCATCCATTTTAGAGCATCACACAGTGGCAAGGTAGTTCTACCTAGGCAATAGGAGTCTTTTGACCACGTTTCAAATGATTTTTCCCTGCCAGGTCAGACTCGACCTTTTGCCCGAACGAGCGGGCCACAGGTGTTTTGGTTTCCCAGCGGGTTCGTCGGTTGTCCGGCTTCGATTTGGAGGATTCGATTCGCCGGAAATGGGGGGGGAAGCCCGAAGACAAGGGGGTTTTCGCTTTTACATCGGTCCGGCGGCTCTATATTTCGGGACAAACCCGGTCACGACCAGCACAAACACTGCTCGGGTGTTCGGCCAAGCTGGTAAGTGGGGGTCGTTATTCCTCCGGCAAAAGTCATCAGCATCCCTCAATGGGTTGGGTTGCTCGGAGCCCCCGCACCTTTGGCAGGTATGGAAAAGCCGGTGCTTCCGGGCGTTTCGCTACGGTTTGGTAAGCCTTCGGGATCCTTACCGCTAAGGTTCATGGATGGCTTCCCCTGACCACCTATAGTCGTTTGCTGTAGCAAGCGCCTGGAAGCACCGGAGAAGCCAGATTTGGGATCCGTCGCAACCGCTGGCACAGCACGGAAAAACGTGGCTGTGGCTCAAACAGTGGTACCCCAAACACCGTGGCAAATGGAAACAAAGACTAAACCCTGCGGTTTGCCCTAGCTCTTTGATTTCGAGCCATACCCAGGTTACCCAAGTGGGTTAAAAATGGGTTTGGCAACTGGCAGATGCACCGCTAAAAGTTCAACTGTTAGTGGGTGAAATCACGGAAATCCAACCACCAAACCAACTACAAAGGATCTAAAAAGTCAAGTTAAACCACTAAAACCCAGTTGGTTTTTCGTTGGTCTTAGAACCCAACCTATTACCGGAATGGCGGGCTCTAAAACTTAGTTGGTCTTTCGTTGGTCTCAACAAAACCCAACCTACTACCGGAACGGCCTCCCGGCTCGCCCCCCAAGGTGGTTCCGGCTAGCCCCACAAATCGATCCCCGGCGCCGCGCAGATCACGATGATCACCGCGATGAGCAGCGAGGGCACCGCCCGGATCCCGAAGTTGTGGCCGTAGGTCATGCCCGCCAAAGGGTCCACGATGCACACCGACAGCACCCCCACCACCGTCTGAAGCCTCGCATGGTTGTTTTATGATGTTCCCTTTTTTTTGTGTGCTTTTTGGCCGCGAACAACATGTCCAAGGAAAGACTCTAAACCCTAAAGTGTGGCTGTTCAAAATGAAGCTGCTGGGATTAGTACGCAGGTTTGGACTTTTTGGTGTGGCTGGCTCAAAAAGAAACAGCTGGGGGTTAGTACATACGCAGTTTTTTTTGTTTTTAAGATCTTTCTATTTGACCAGGGTTCCATTTTGATGGTTGCCCCCCCCCGAATAGAGGGCCACCCAATTTAACAGGGCTCCCTATACTTCCCTCTCAAAAAATCACCCCTATGAGGGAAGCTCACCTTAAATGAGCAAAGAGGGTGATGCTTAAAACGACCAAACAGGGAAATATTGCGACTGCTGCATTGCCAATAGGGCGATGCTAGCGACTAACAAGGCCCGTTATGGGCTAATAGGGTTCCTTTTCTAGGGGGCCCCTGATAAGCAATGTGCCAGAAGAGTGGAACGGTAAAAACTTGACACCGGGGAACCCACTTTTGGTTGGCTTTAACGGGATAGCAGGAAACCGTTTTTTTAGTGCCAACGCAAGGTCGAAAACGATCGACGGTCTCCTTGTGGAAAATGTCAACTGACATTTCAAATTGTCCTTTGTTCAAAAACCTTGGACCCAACCTCGGGGTATGCCCAACAATGTGTCGACTGGTTCATAGCCGTCAACCTGGAAATCTGTCTGAAACAAATCGGAAAGGTCAGGAATTCGGAATCTAAACCAAAGCCAACAAATCAGGTGATGTTTAAAGGAGGAAAATTACGGGGATTTGAACCTCTGGTTCTGATAGAGGGATTTCCCACCGGAACACCTTCAAACAACCACGAGAGAAGTGATGTTCAGCTTTGCTTCCCAGAAGCGAGGCTCAAAATCAAACAAGCCTTCCCTTCGATCCATTCAACTTGCTGGTGCGATATGCAGGGAATGAGGGAATGACCCTCATACACCATCCCCGATAGTTTCCTTTAAGGGGAATCCTGGGTTCAATCCCAAACACGGAACGGTCATTCCTTACTGAGAACCAGCAAGTTTCAGCTTCTCACTGATTGGTGGCTTGGAGCCCCCTGCATTTGGTGATGAGGGGTGGTTTCCCGGTTTACCCTCTACAAAAATCAGGGTTCAAATCCAAACCACCAACAAATCAGACCTGTTACCGGCGACAATTGTTGACCCCATGAATCAACCCCAGTTTATTTATAGGGGGTGCTTTTACACCAATTAGGGGTTCATTTCCGACCCAACAAAATGTCCAATTACACCAATAAAGGTGATGTTCAGCTTGTTACACCAATTATTAGATCATTATTGATTAGGGGTGAATTCAAGCCATTCTCTCCATTTCGAGGTCCCAAACAAGGCCCATCCTGACTGGCCGGGCCCTTCTGAAGGCGTTCGCTTGGGGAAGGCAACCAGTCGAGCCCCGGATCTAGACGCCCGGGGAGTCGGGGGGCTCGTCTCCTTTTCGGCACCCTTTTTGGTGGTGTTAAAGGAAACCAAGAAGAACACCCACATTTTTTCATTTTTGTTCGGGGGGTCCGATTCCTAAGAAGAGACACCCCCATTTCACTCTGCGCGCAAAATTCAGCCGGTCAGCAAACTCTTGGTCACCGTGGAGAAATTCATCACCACCCTGGGCGGAGCGAGACTTTGTTTCGGTTCTTCCTCGCTGCAAACAGAGACCGTGGGAAACTTCGCGATCGGCCATCGGGTACGAGAGATGCCGCGCTTCCCCATGTCCATGCGTGAAATGAACCATAGACTGGCAATGTTGACCAACCATCTCAAGATGGGCTTGGCAGTGGGTGTTTTCTATATGTGGCCCCCCTTAAACAAAATAAGATGAGAGATATCCCTGTAGTTTCTCTTCAAGCACGATCCAACCGGGTGTCCGCAGTTTCAGGACAGAACCATTTGGTCCTTTCAGCTGCCAGCGACCAGCGCTTTTTCCTACCCCAAACATGGGCTTCCCCTCGCACCCTTCATAACGACCCCTTGTTGGAAGCCTTACGGCCGAAAGAATTAGAATGGTGGGCTGAGAAACCAGATGAAGCCATGAACATGGGACAATTCATGCAAATGATTCGCCTCCTAGTACTTGAAGCCCTCCCTCTAGCTCTCTCTCTCTCTCTCTCTCTCCCCTCTCCCTCTCTCTCTCTCTCTGTCTCTCTCTCTCTCTCTCTCTCTCTCTCCTCCTCTCTATGGCCGCGAACTGAAACATCACCCTGCCAACAAGCGCCACCAAACTTGGCCTTTCCGAACGAAGTTCGAACCACCATTTAGGCCAAATCAGCCACTCAGCTGCCCAAATAAGAATCGCACGCACCTAGATCCCAACCATTCGCACGTGAGCCATAGTCAAAATCAGTTCGTGCACAGGACATGGGTCATTTAGTGAACCCCCTTGTTTTTGTTGGAAACTTAGCTCTCGTCACTCCATGTCCCCTTCACAAATGGACCATAGACAGCAAGTCAGGAAATGTTGAGCGAACTTCACATTGCGGGTCATGGTCATGGAACCGGAAGATTGGTGGTGTAAATCTCCAAGGAGTCCGTGACTATCCGTACTTTATGCAATCAAGTGGGACTCGGTTGCCCAAGATGCCCAAACTGGGCCCAGAAATTCTAGGGGTTGATACCCCATTCTTTTCAACCATCGTTCTTTCCAAAAACCGGGCGTTTCCCTCGGTTCCGGAGATTTTCTAGAAAGAAGGATCCCTGGAAAGAATGGGGAAGCTACCCCTAGAGAAATGCGAAGCTTGACCTTTTGGGGCAACGGAAATCAAGCCAAATCTTGCTGGTACTCAGCGGGGAATGAGAAATGGAATGAACCCAGGCTTTGGTCCCCCGAAAAGAAGAAACACCAGCTGGATGGTTTTTAGGGGTCATTCCATTTCTCATTCTCTACCTATCGCACCAGCAAGAAAAAGAAAACACTAAAAGATCAAAAGGGTCGGGTTGGGCAAGTGAGAGGAACCGAACCTACTGTAGACGATAGGAATCCCCCACTTTGCAGTGCCTCCATCAAGAAATGACGGGAAGAGGGAGTCCACACTTGGAAGTGAGCAAGTGGAAAAACCACCTGGGTGAATGTTGACCACGGACTACTAAACCCTGTTGATTACTATGGGGGTGTCCCTGGTTTTAAGGGAGGCGTCATCACTTTTGGAGCGGAACACCCCCATATTAATAACTAGACCACGGTTGGCCCGAAAGCAGAACATCGCAAGCGAGGTCGGCCCAACGCTGCGGGATGCGTTCTTTTTCCCTACACGAAGCATTCGTGAAGCAAGCGCGAGACAGCACCAGGCAAGGTGCTCTGCGCAAACTGGTCGGTGCAAGTTGGTCTGCGCAAGTTGCTCTACGCAAGTTGCACTGTGCAAGTTGCTCTGCGCAAGTTGCTCCGAGCAAGTTGCTCCGGCAAGTTGGTCCCTGCAAGTGGCTCCCTGCAAGTTGCTCTGTGCAAATTGCGCTCCCTGCAAGTTGCTCTGTGCAAGCTGCTCTGTGCAAGTTGCTCTGTGCAAGTTGCTCTGCGTAAGTTGCTCTGCGCAAGTTGCTCTAGGCAAGGCGCTCTGCGCAAACTGGTCGGTGCAAGTTGGTCTGCGCAAGTTGCTCTGTGCAACTTGCTCTGCGCAAGTTGCTCTGCGCAAGTTGCTTTAAAATGCAAGTTGCATCTTGCGACGCCCGCCCGCGGACCAGGGAGGAATCGAACCCGCGACCCGCCGGTTCCGGGAGCAGGCGCGCGAACCACGAGACAACTCCCGAGGACCAGTTCGAACAACAAAAGTCGCAAAAACCTCGGGTTTTTGCACCTCGACCACGCCGATCCCCGCAGAGGGCGCAGCAGAAATCATCGCAAAAAACCTCGGTTTTGCACCTCGACCACGCCGATCCCCGCAGAGGGTCGCGCGGGCACTTTAGAAATCGCAAAAAACCTCGAGTTTTTGCACCTCGACCACGCCGATCCCCGCAGAGGGTCGCGCGAGCATTTAGAAATCGCAAAAAACCATGGGTTTTTCGACCACGCCGATTTGCGCACCTCGACCACGCCGATCAGAGGGTCGGGTCGCGCGAGCATGTTAGAAATCGCAAAAACCTCGGTTTTTGCACCTCGACCACGCCGACGGGAACTTTAGAAATCGCAAAAAAAACCATGGGTTTTTGCACCTCGACCACGCCGATCCCCGCAGAGGGTCGATTTTCGTGTAGTGTCGTCGGCACTACCCCGCCGCCCTAAGAAGAGATTTTAACTCCTCGCAAGTCAATTGCACTTGACTCCTTGCACTTGCAACTTGCACTTGACTCCTTGCTTGTTTCAAGGAGTCATTGCAAGGAGTCATTGCAAGGAGTCATTGCAAGGAGTCATTGCAAGGAGTCATGGCAAGGAGTCATTGCAAGGAGTCATTGCAAGGAGTCATTGCAAGGAGTCATTGCAAGGAGTCATTGCAAGGAGTCATTGCAAGGAGTCATGAGAGCCATTGCAAGTTGCAAGGAGCCAAGTGCATGGAGTCAAGTGCAAGTCGCAAGTGCACGGAGTTAAGTGCAAGTTGCAAGTGCAAGTGCAAGGAGCCAAGTGCAAGGAGCCAAGTGCAAGGAGCCAAGTGCATGGAGTCAAGTGCAAGTTGCAAGTGCATGGAGTCAAGTGCATGGGTTCAAGTGCAAGTTGCAAGTGCAAGGAGTCATGTGCAAGTTGCAATCCTTGCCATGACTCCTTGCAATGACTCCTTGCAACGACTCTTTGCCATGACTCCTTGCAATGACTCCTTGCAATGACACTCCTTGCCATGACTCCTTGCCATCCTGAAGCCTAGCTACTTCGAGCTCCATGACTTCTGTTTGAGCCAAATCTCGATGATCATCCGCAAGATGCCACATAACAACCAGCCGTGTGCGCCATGCCCGTAAATAAGCCGTGTGCGCCATGCTCCCCGCAACTTCTTTCATGATGAGAACTCCTTGCGTCAAACTCCTACAGGGTGAGTGGCCTGAAAGCATAACTCCCCACGATGTGCGGCAAACTTGTTTAACCCCGGCCTGGCACATGCGCAAGTTGCTCTGCGCAAGTTGCTTTGCGCAAGTTGCTCTGTGCGAGTTGCAGTGTGTGCAAGTTGGCGCGAGACAGCACCAGGCAAGGTGCTCTGCGCAAACTGGTCGGTGCAAGTTGGTCTGCGCAAGTTGCTCTACGCAAGTTGCACTGTGCAAGTTGCTCTGCGCAAGTTGCTCCGCGCAAGTTGCTCCGGCAAGTTGGTCCCTGCAAGTGGCTCCCTGCACGTTGCTCTGTGCGAGTTGCAATATGTGCAAGTTGGCGCGAGACAGCACCAGGCAAGGTGCTCTGCGCAAACTGGTCGGTGCAAGTTGGTCTGCGCAAGTTGCTCTACGCAAGTTGCACTGTGCAAGTTGCTCTGCGCAAGTTGCTCCGCGCAAGTTGCTCCGGCAAGTTGGTCCCTGCAAGTGGCTCCCTGCAAGTTGCTCTGTGCAAATTGCGCTCCCTGCAAGTTGCTCTGTGCAAGCTGCTCTGTGCAAGTTGCTCTGTGCAAGTTGCTCTGCGTAAGTTGCTCTGCGCAAGTTGTGCAAATTGCGCTCCCTGCAAGTTGTTGCTCTGTGCAAGTTGCTCTGTGCAAGTTGCTCTGCGTAAGTTGCTCTGCGCAAGTTGCTCTAGGCAAGGCGCTCTGCGCAAACTGGTCGGTGCAAGTTGGTCTGCGCAAGTTGCTTTAAAATGCAAGTTGCGTCTTGCGACGCCCGCCCGCGGACCAGGGAGGAATCGAACCCGCGACCGGCCGGCCCGGGAGCAGGCGCGCGAACCACGAGACAACTCCCGAGGACCAGTTCGAACAACAAAAGTCGCAAAAAACCTCGAGTTTTTGCACCTCGACCACGCCGATCCCCGCAGAGGGTTGCGCGGCACCGCAGAAATCGCAAAAAACCATGGGTTTTTGCACCTCGACCACGCCGATCCCCGCAGAGGGTCGCGCGAGCACCGCAGAAATCGCAAAAAACCTCGAGTTTTTGCACCTCGACCACGCCGATCCCCGCAGAGGGTCGCGCGAGCATGTTAGAAATCGCAAAAAACCATCGGTTTTTGCACCTCGACCACGCCGATCCCCGCAGAGGGTCGCGCGGGAACTTTAGAAATCGCAAAAAACCATCGGTTTTTGCACCTCGACCACGCCGATCCCCGCAGAGGGTCGCGCGAGCACCGCAGAAATCGCAAAAAACCATGGGTTTTTGCACCTCGACCACGCCGATCCCCGCAGATGGTCGCGCGAGCAGCGCAGAAATCGCAAAAAACCATGGGTTTTTGCAGGGTCGCGCGGGAACTTTAGAAATCGCAAAAAACCATGGGTTTTTGCACCTCGACCACGCCGATCCCCGCAGAGGGTCGATTTTCGTGTAGTGTCGTCGGCACTACCCCGCCGCCCTAAGAAGAGATTTTAACTCCTCGCAAGTCAATTGCACTTGACTCCTTGCACTTGCAACTTGCACTCGACTCCTTACACTTGCAACTTGCACTTGACTCCATGCACTTGCAACTTGCACTTGACTCCATGCACTTGCAACTTGCACCTGACTCCTTGCACTTGCAACTTGCACTTGACTCCTTGCACTTGCAACTTGCACTTGACTCCATGCGCAGCTCGCAATGACTCTCATGACTCCTTGCAATGACTCCTTGCAATGACTTCTTGCAATGACTCCTTGCAATGACTCCTTGCAATGACTCCTTGCAATGACTCCTTGCAATGACTCCTTGCAATGACTCCTTGCAATGACTCCTTGCAATGACTCCTTGCAATGACTCCTTGCAATGACTCCTTGCAATGACTCCTTGCAATGACTCCTTGCAATGACTCCTTGCAATGACTCCTTGCAATGACTCCTTGCAATGACTCCTTGCAATGACTCCTTGCAATGACTCCTTGCAATGACTCCAATGACTCCTTGCAATGACTCCTTGCAATGACTCCTTGCAATGACTCCTTTCAATGACTCCTTGCATTGACTTTCATGATGATGATTCCTTGCAATGACACCTTGTAATGACTCTCATGAGAACAACTCAAGTGAACCCAGCGGAAGAACCCTTCGCCATGCTTTCGGGAAAAACAGAGGTGTGTTCATCCGGTGTGAGCATTGCAACCCACCAACAAGGTTGAGTCCACTGAACGGGGGACATATAAGCGGGCAATGACCCAGGCTACTAGCCACTTACTCGCTCGGGCGAGCAGACAACCAATGAACCCCCTTTTTCTGCCTTTAACACACAAACCTGGGCTGCCCTCAGATCCCCCTCTAGAAGTTTGACTTTTAGCAGGTTAAATGGGCATCCCCACTAAACACTAAAAAGATCCAAAAAGCTACGTAAGGGGATGGCTGGGAACCACTGAGAAACAGGCGGCACAAAGGAAGAAGAAGCGATGGGGGTCCAACGGAAAGTGGGGGAACCCCTCCATGGGTGGCTTCCGGAGACACAATCAATCAAACAAACAAACAAACAAACAAACACACACACACACACACAAACAAACAAGCAAAACAACAAACACACCAAAGCATGCAAACACACAGGCACACAAACACACAAAGACACAAACACACAAGCACACAAACAAACAAACAAACAAACAAACAAACAAACAAACAAACAAATTAACAAAGACACACACACAAACACCCAAACACCCAAACACCCAAACACCCAAACACCCAAACACCCAAACACACAGTCACACACACAATAACACAAGAACACAAGAACACAAGAACACAAGAACACAAGAATACAAGAACCCAAGAACCCAAGAACACGCAAACACAAGAACACAAAAACACAAACACGAACACAAGCACAAACCCACACACACACACCCACACACACAGACACACACGCACGCACGCACGCACGCACGCACGCACGCACGCACGCACGCACGCACGCACGCACGCACGCACGCACGCACGCACGCACGCACGCACGCACGCACGCACGCACGCACGCACGCACGCACGCACACAAACACAAACACAAACACAAACACAAACACAAACACAAACACAAACACACAAACACACAAACACACACAACACACACAACACACACAACACACACACACACAAGCACACAAAGACACCAACCCGCGCGAACGCACACGCACACACACACACACACACACACCCACCCACCCACCCCCGCACTTCAAATATATACCCTACTTTACCCCCAGAACCCCCACCCCCTCAACCGCTGGACTGATACCACCAATCCGGAAAAACACAGATACCAGCATAGATAGCAAGAATTCAAAAAAGAAGCACCCCATTTATGAAACAAATCTCAAGATTCAACAGCAAGAATGAAAAAAAGAAGAACGCACCTGCGATTTTCGATTCTCGCCAGGCCGCAAGCCAGCCCACCAAGCTTGTAGAACGTAGATCGCCTCAAGAAAACAACGATAAAAACGATTCCGGCTTAAAATCCGCTCAGAAATAGCTGCGGTCTGTGTCCTCAGTTGCCCCCTACAAAACCTAACTAAAAGGTGATCACCTTTTGGGGCCATGACTAAATATGGTTGCCCAAATTGGGAAATCAAAAGGTCCAAAGGTCGGCTTTGAACAACTGAGTGTCAACAATAGGAGGCCCTGAACAAAATGTCTTCTTTTGGCTTCCCTGCAAACCAAACACGCAAAGGGGTATCCCAGAAAACACAGCCCTGCGGAGATTTCAGCAAGCATCTTTTTTCGGGTGCCGAATATAATGGTGCTTTCTTTCTGACCCAAACCCCCAAAATGATTGCCATGTTGCAAAAAAGCAGCTGATGTGCTTTGCACGCTTTCATCATAGTTTCCTTCGGTCGTTGACTTCAAAAGACGAGCTCCCCTCCTAAAAAGAAGAGGGAAGACACCCACCGGAGGGTCTGGGGTACGGTTCCCTCATGGCTACGCCCTGCAGGCGATCGGAGTCAAAGGCGGGGTGATGGATGTCAAAGAGATTTGGTCGCAAAATGGGAAGTTGGGATTGCCTCTTAGCTTCCCTCCAAACCAATCTCAAAATCAGCCCTCTAACTTGTGGCTTGGTGCCCGATGGTTTGGAGGTCAGGGCGTGGTTTCCCATATACGCTTCAAAAGAAGCAAGGGTTCCAATTCGCAAACCAACAATCCAAACCACCAACTAAGGGTGACCTGACACATTTCACACTGCACTGCCATTCCAGATTCCAGGTCCCTCAGACCGAGGCTACGAGTCCCGGCGGGGAAGCAAGTTTAGTCTTGCAAGGTCTCCTTGGGGGAGGTTCCCGAGGTGTCGCGAAAAAATAGTATATGGCTGTCAATGGTACCATTTTGGGGTAGCTGTACCACCCATTTTAGAACCTATTTTGGTGGGTACAGAATTTTGACCATATAGTTTTACAGTCAGCCAGTGTTCCACCCCTTGTTTTGTTCAAGTTTGTGTTAGCGGGTTTCCCTTTAAAATCATCCAACAAAAGGAAGGCACGCCATTGTTCCCATGGGAGACGGGGCAAAGGTTTGTGTGTTTCTGGTGTGGCTTCTGTTTCGGTTTCCTTTCAGGTAAAAAACTACCAGTCCATTTTCCAAGGTTCCATTTTGGGTACCTATTTTTGACCCACAGCCGTACAAAGGGAGTTTCCTTGGGTTCACAGAAATTGGTCCTAAAGCCTAGTTTTCCACATGTGGGTGTGCCTTTTTCTGTGGGTACCCCCTTTTTCTGTGGAGGTAAAGGCAAACCAAATGGAAAACTGTGGCGCCATGTCGGGGGGCCCGAATCCTAAAAAAATTGGATTCGAGCCGCCCATGTTGAATCCCGCTCTCATGTCTAAATTCGTGGGCTTCCTTTGGTTTCCCGAAAAGCTCGCTTCTGGTCGAGTGAGGGCCAAAGGAAGTCCCGGAATTTGTGTACCACAAAATCGGTCGAGCCCAAAAAGCTGACAAAAGTCCGAAACGGAACTCAGAGAGTAAGACCTACACAAAGGGGCATTGTACTTACGAAGTGGGCCATAACCATGGTCATAACTTGAGTCATAACCCAGGAAGCATAGTTATAAGTCTCCTTTTCGTGGGATACAACCAGGCTTACGAACCACTTACCTCATGAGTACCGAATCGATCTCCCCTTTAAGTACCACAAGCAGTCCACCAATTCAAGAAACGGGTGTGGGTCAAAATGAAACCACCACGATATGCACCGCAGATTTGAGTCCTTGGTTCTATTTTGGGTACCCGTTGTTGACCCACAGCCCAACCTCGGGGTGGACCATCCGCCATCTTGCAACTAGGAAGCCACCAGGATGTAGTGGCGCCGCGTCCAATAGCCGAACCTCGTTGTTGTTGTGTTTTCCCCTTTTTTCTCAGGATTTTCCGCTTGGCTTCCCTTTAAAAACCACAAAAAGAGGGTGCCGGTTTCCAAAAACGGCACGCAGGGATCCTTACATTATACACCTGAACATTGCCTTGTAAATGGTGGTGTCCTTTTTTTGTGTGGAACAGCCATGTTTCAAATGTGCAAAATGTATCATTTAAGGAGCCCTGCTGTACAAACCACAAAAAGAGGGTAGCCGTTTTCCAAAAAAGGCACAACCACATCCTGTGGAAACTAGCTTCGGTGTTCCTCTTGGTTTCCCTTTGTCACCAACCGAAATGGGGTTCCAACCCAGAAAGACACACTCTAATAGGGACCAGCTGCATGCAAGAATTGCTCCAGCTTTTCTCTGATCAGGGGAACATGGAGGAAACTGAAGGCGGAAAAAGGAAGGCTAAGGATAAAGGGAAACCAACCACGCGAGTAGAAATGAAGAAAAGGCAACGATCCCTTGCTGAAAGTTGAGCTTTTGGTGGAATATGTCATAAATTCAAATAAAAGCCCAAAAAACTAGCAACTAAATGTCTAAAAGTCTGAGGAACCGTATGGTTGGTTGACCCGAAACAGCAAAAACAAAACATACATCAACAGGTTGGTTTTGATGTCTGGCAAGCGTTCAGATATGTTGGCTCTATAAGTGTTGGACAATGGAAGGAAAAATCACGGGGCACTAAAACATAGCCTCCGAATCGTGGTTAAACTGGGGAACCTCCTAAATTTTGAGAACCCTCTAAATGGCTAAACATGAAGGACACCCAAAAAGGCAGAAAGTGCTTATGGAAATGCAAATCTTAAGGTGTGTTGATATGTTTGCATCAAAACCAAATTCAAGGACACTGCCCAATTAATATAACAGCGTCATAAACAGGCACCAAGGGAAAAGCTCAAAATGCATGAACAAGAACAACAATGAAGGAACATGTAAGGGCACCATGAAACGAAATGAAGAGAAGAAGCTAAACATGTTCTAGCCAGGACCCTCCAAAGGCTGGCAAATAGGTTTTAAAAGAAGCACCCGATCGCAGGTCACTTAAACCATTTGGCCATGAACTATGATAGTTGGAACCATCAAAAGTGGTTGGTGGACCTTTTTCTCCCCGAATTCTGACGTCCAGCATTTCGGGTCCTGTTGGACCCAGACACCGTATGGGCCTGCCGTTTTTGAGGGTAGCCTCCTTTTGAACTGCTTGAAAGGAAACCAAACGCAAATCGCCCTTTGGAGCTTTGGTCCAAAGCCACTTGACCCCCGGACAGGTGCCATGATCAAAACTCCTGATATGGTTCATGGTCATGGTTGCTTTAATGGGAAGAAATCATGATGGTGATGAGGGATCTTTACTACCAGGTAGATAACTATCCCTACTTCAAGGGGCATTGTACCTAGAAAGTGGTTAGTAAGCCTGGCTATAACCCACAAAAGCCATGATTATAAGTATCCTTTTCGCGGGCTATCTCACCAGGCTTACTAACCACTTGCCTGAGGTACTGAGTCGATCGCCCCGTTAAGTAGTACTTGGACCATATTCATTTCTTGCCCAAAGAGAGTCTCGCCAAAAGGGGATGCAATCAGTTTTCAAGTTTTCAAGTTTTGAGGTACGCCTCGATCCCCCCTTTAAGTCGTAACCCCGACCCCAAGGAGTCAGTTTTTACTCTCAGGTGGACTATCCTTGGTAACCCCAAGCCAAGGGGTGGCTGGAGAACCGCGCCAGGGCTTGCAAAGAAACTGGTCCTTCTGTGAATGGTTGCGAAATCCATTTCGCGCCGCTTTGAAACCAGAAGAAATCAGTGCTGCCTGGTATTTACGTTGGCAAACTAAAAATCATGTCATGGTTTCTGAACGGTGCTGCGTTTTCTGGATTTCGCAACCATCCACAGTATCAGTGGGGTCCCCAAAGGGTCCATTGGTACCTCATGAAAATATGGCAACATCCAAGCAAAATGCAACAAAGTAAAGGAGCCGCTGCCTTTGACCCTGGAAAGCACCCTCCGTCACTCAGACTTTCCCGACCTCCCTCAGCTCCGCGCATCACGTCCGTCTTGGAGTTCCAGGATCCCTGCACGCAGTAGTACTGCCAGATCCACACGACGCCCAGCAGCACGCAGTTGGTGAAGTCCAGGTGGACCCTGTGGATGTAGTACTTGCCTCAGCGAGAGGCTTCGAGACCTCCAGTTGCGGTTTTATAGGTCCCCTGGAAAAATGAGAAAATAAGTCCAGGGGGAAATCAAAAATATTCTTAACCAAATGGAAGTTAGAATAAGGGTAAGCTTGATACCCCAACCAACCCCGGCCATTCCTGCAAATGGAGGTATTCTCGAAAGGCATGGAATTAGGAAAACAAATTGGCAGGACTTCGGGGGAAGCATGGGCTAGGTCCTCCAATAAAGAGGATAGAATAAGTTGGTACCCGATTTGTTTCTGTAGTCTATTTTAGTAGAGGAACCCTCCCCCAAAAAAGGGGTGAGACAGGGCACTGCTGGGACCTAGTTGTGTGTGGTACCTTGCCTAAGCACTTTGTTTGGACTTGCCTCGGTTTGCTTGTAACTTGCCTCAGTTTGTTTGTAGATGCCTCAGTTTGTTTGTAGTTGGCTCAGTTTGTTTGTAGATGCCTCAGTTTGTTTGTAGTTGTCTCAGTTTGTTTGCAGATGCCTCAGATTGTTTGCAGATGCCTCATATTGTTTGTGTTTGCCGCCTCACTTTGTATGTTCTTGCCTCAGTCTGTTTGTAGTACTTGCCTCAGTCTGTTTGTACATGCCTGAATTTGATTGTAGTGCTTGCCTACGCAGTTTGTTTGTAGCAGTTGCCAGTACTTGCCTAAGTATTTTCTCTGTAGTACTTGACTAAGCAGCTTGTCGGTAGTAATGACTTGCCCAGGCAGCTTGTGTGTAGCGCTTTCCTGCCTCAGTTGGTTTGTAGTACGTGCCTAAGCAGCTAGCTTGTCTGTAGTACTTGCATAAAGATTTTGTTTGCGGTGGTTGCCGAAGCAGCTTGTAATTCTGGGCTGCCCTCAGATCCCCCGCCAAAAAATAACTGTTAGTGAGTTAAATGGAAACTGCCACTAAACACTGAAAAGCTAAAGTGCAAAGGGGATGACTGGGAGCCACCAAGACATGCTCGGTCTGGTTGACAACATCGACTTTTATTTGGTTCAGACCCCTGGACAAAATGAACATATTTCCAGCAATGGACGTAGAAGCAGCTTCTTTGTATCGATCTTCCCTTACAGATCTGTTGCCTCAAAGCCGCAGAAGCGGCCTCGTCCAGGATTTGCCGTGGTTCGGCGAAAAAGATGATTCCGCACAACGGAAGGGTACAAGCGCCCAAGCCATCAATTGAGGGGGAATTACCTGAATCACAGAAGTGGGACTTCTGTAGGTGTTCTTTTTGGGGAAAATAGATGGCCCTGGTGGTTGATTGAACCGCCAGGTAAACCAGAGCCACCTACGCTCCGGGGCTCCCTACATGGGTATGGGTCAAAATTAAACCACCAGGATATGGACCGCAGGTTTTAGTCTCTGTTTCCACTGACCAGGGCAAGCCATTTTGGGCCCACATTTTTGACCCACAGCCATTTGAGGGGGAATTACCTGAATCACAGAAGTGAGACTTTTCTAGGACTTGTCCAAAGAATGCAAAAAGCCTGATATGGCAAGGAAGGCAAAACAAGGAGGGCTTGGCGGGTGTCAAGATCGCGGACTTGCGTTGGGCCCCCTTTAGAAGCCAGCCGTGAAAGCAAAAGTCTGAAGGGGCGCTTCATTTGCACTCAAGGGACCTTCATCATGGAAGGAATCGCTTATGTTACCCAAGCTCGACGATAGTTGTGCAGAACAAGCTGAACTACACGTGTTCAGAGCCGCATCCAAGTTCTTGATTCGGTTCAAAAAGACAGGACGCGAATTCTGGCCTCAGCCGCCATTCAGCTTCCTTCTCAAGAAAGTCAGAAAAGGTTTCCAGCAAGGCATCCAGATTGCCTTGCAACAACCATCTGAAGAGCTTGTGGTAAATTCCAACTCAATATCGCAAGGGAATAAGGAAAGCGATTCTCTAACTTGCCGTCATGTACCACAGTTTCGTGTGTGTGTGTGTGATTGTGTTTTATGTGTTTGTTTGTTTTTGTAAGAAATGCAATGAGCTGATTCCCATCGAAAGACCAGCTCAGCTGAGGCGCCATGGTCAAAGTTGTCTTGCTCGTTGCGCCTCACCTGAGCAACATCGAAGACTTCCATTTGGTTAAGCCCCTGGGGAAAAATATGATCTATTTCCAGTAGCGATAGATTCCCTTTAAAACCAACGGAAAATATAACAAATTGTCATTCCAGCAGATGGAAGAAGGGGAGTCAAAAAATGAAACAAACAAAACGGTTTCTCCAAGCCACAGCTTGGGCTCCGGAGCTTGCTTGGGTCAAAGAAACCCCCGCTGACCACCAAACCAAATCCTGTAAAAAACAAGTTGACAGTTAAGCCTTATTTAGAGTTTGTTACCCCTGATTTGGCCTTGATTTGTGCATTTAGAGCTTTACCCCTGATTGACCCCTGACTTTTGTCTTATCCTTAAAGGGTATGTTCCAGGATTCTGGTGGTACAACCTTTGATTGGGTCGTCGGCCGTAAGTTGTTGACCTAAGTTACAACCCTCTGAGATCAGTCCCCCCGTTCAGCGGAGTGAACCTGAGTGGGTATCCCAGGCCAACCACTTACCAAGACTTGGCAAGAAACCTCCAAGTAGGAACAAGGGGGGGCCCTAAACAAAAAGGGACTTCCTTAAAGGGAGGGGGTTCCAACGTTTCCCCCTATCAACCAAAAGGGAAGTTCTTTCAAGAAAGACACACCTCAAGAACAACACATTGTTTATCCCGTTTGGTTTCATAACAACCAATAGGGTGTTCCCTAAAGAAAGACACACCCAAATCACCCTTACCACTTGCTACCTTTCGAATGGCTCGAAAACAGAACTGGAAGGAGGTTCTCCCCCCTTCGCGTCTGGGCCTCGACATGATACAATGAAACTTGGTTGCTGCAAGGACCCCACTGCAAAAAGTTGACAACTTTTTGGGGCTTTAGTGGAAAACACCTTTATTTCAACCAAAAAGTCGAAGTCTAAAGATCCAACCCAATAGCAGTAAAGCTGCTGGTGCTCAGCAAGAAATGTAAAAATGAACCCAGGGGTCTCCTTACAGGAAACCACAAGGGAGCCTCTGGCAAGCGCCTCAGGCGCTCTGTGTTTCACTCAGACAAAAAAGGAACCCACACAACAGAGCAAGAGGAAAAGCGAGGGGCCACCACCAACTGACCAACTCCCCGAAAAGAAACAACTGCCGCACTAGCTGCGCGCGCAGCCGCAGAGTTCTTGAAATCCCTAAACTCTGGTTTCATATTCAGTCAAGCCTGAATAGAACATAGTTTTGCAGGGGACACCAAACTTGGGTGTTGGAGACCATCCCTACCAACCCCAACGGGGGAGTGCAAAACAAAAGCAAAAGCAAGCAAGCAAGCAAGCAAGCAAGCAAGCAAGCAAGCAAGCAAGCAAGCAAGCAAGCAAGCAAGCAAGCAAGCAAGCAAGCAAGCAAGCAAGCAAGCAAGCAAGCAAGCAAGCAAGCAAACAAACAAACAACTACTTGAAGAAACCACGACTTCGGGTGGGTGGGTCTTGTGTTTTCTCCTGGGCGCCATGCCCGAGGAGAAGTTCTTGAACAACCTTTCCGCCAGGATAGAGGCGACAGCAGCCATGGCCACCCCCACGAAGGCGCAAATGATGCCCAGCAGACTTAGCTGGTCCTGGGGTGAACCCCATTTTTGGACTAAGGCTAGGTCCTCCAGTAGAGGTAGGTTAGAATACGTTGGTACCGTTTTTCCTGTAGTCTATTTTAGTAGGGGATCCGAACCTCCCAACCAAAAAAGGGGCAGAGAAGGGCACCGATCGCTGGGGGACCTAAGGTTTGATTCCCATGAGCCAAGGGCTTGGGTCAACCTTGGACCGGAGACGAATCTTGGCCCCAAAACAATTCTAGTGGACTAAGGGGTTGGTTTGGTTCTCTTCATTCTTATGTCGCGGCATCAAGAGTTGCAAAGTTAAGGCGCTCCTTATCAAGACTTGGCTCACTCCCTGAGTTTATGGACTTGTTTATGATTTTCCCATTCTTTTCCATCATTATTTTCAAAACCCAGATCCGTTTCCCTGAGTTTCAAAGGAGGCTTTCTAGAACGAAGGATTTTTGGAAATAATGGACAAGGTAGCCCTAGAACTAAGGTAGATGGGTGTGTCTTTTGTCTGAGGGTTCTGCGAATTAAGCCAACCCCCCCTGGGCCAAGGGGTCAAACATCCTAGGTACGCTGGATGCCATATTGCAAGTAAACCCAAACAACAAAATGTAGCAGTGGCTGTTTTGAAGGTACTGCTTGTGGGTGGTTTGAATGGAAAACCAAAAGGAACACCGCCATTTTGGAGGGTTCGATTGGATCGTGTTGAAAGGTGGGATCTACCTAAAAGTCAGCACGGGCAGCAGCTTGATTTTCTTGAGCCAATTGTCATGTCAGTATGCCATTACCTATCAACACCCCCCGCTTTGCAGAGGTGCGTTGGTGAGAACAGTACTTTGTACACGTTTCTCCCCCCATGCCTGAAGCAAAGTCCTCTGAGGTCAAGGCAGTGAAGACGTAGAGCCTCAGTGGGATAGGTGGCAAGCCATGGTGATATGAGGCCTCATGCGTCAATGGTCGCTGCAACTGCAATGCATTTGAACTTTTGCAGGAGCGTGCCATCAGAATCGGCCGACCACGACTTCCGTCGGGCAAAACACATGTGATTTCCATGTGAATGCTTGAAACTGAATTCACACTGTTGCCATCAGCGAAGGTGATCTCACGACCACAGCTTCCGCTGGGCAATACTGAAATGACATCCGGTGGTGGCGGCCGTGGATTGACCTACGGCCGCAGCTTCCGCCGGGCGTGCAAACTTGGCACTGCTAATGTTGCGGCATCAATGGATGAAAGATAATAGTTTTGAACATGACATCACCAATGAAATTGAAATGGTTACCACAACATAAGCAAACTTTTGTAATTGATGCGGACGCTCACCATCCCCATGGGCCCTGACGCCATTGATGCCATCCAGAGGACCACCCGTACCAAGAGCTCCAGTCCTGACGCCCCGTGCTCTTGCCTTTGCCCTTGCCCTTTCCTTTGGTGTAGGGCTCGGGGCGAATGGACCGGGTGATCGCCCTCCACTGGGTGTTCCTCGCCTCAACAGGATAGGTCCGCGTCCGGCCGGAGGAAAACCGCGGGATTTCGAGTTCACCGGTGCTGATGGTGCCCTGGGAGTCGAACTTGATCCAGGAGGCCCGAATGAAACTGGTCATGACCTCCAAAATTCTTTCGACGTTCCCTTCCGGGACGTATGATCCGCTGTGCCCGATGATGATCGGCACTTGGTTGCCCGGGATGAAGCGGTAGGCACACATGACTGCGAATTGAGTGATGGTGTAAAACCTCGCGTGGTGGGCGATGAATGCTTCCGTGGAAACGTTGAGCTCATGGGGGTCGCGCTTATTCAGATTCGGGATGAACACCAGCTTGGTTCCGGTGTTTTGGGATCCGCCTCTCTCGCGCTCCTCCCTGGTACGGCCTGGGTCAGCAACAACCGCACGGGCAATCCGGCCAAGGAAATCGAGGCTCTCAGGGGTTAGCCCTTGCGTGGCACAGTTGTATGCGTAGAAGGGGTCGACCGAGAGCCGGTCGGATACCTTCTCGCACCCCATCGCCAACGCCTTGGTCAGATGCGTCTTTGCCGTCTTCCTGAGTGACGCTTCGACGGAGATTCCTCCCCGCTTCTCACCTTCCTTGAAGTGATGCTTGGAACGGATCCACTTCCCTCCGCCACCTTGCAAATCCTCCAGGTAGAAAACCATGCCCTGGAGGGATGCCGTGTGCTCGAGGCGTACCACCTCAGTGGCAATGCGTGCGTCCGTCCAAGCCACCATGTCCGCCCGGCATTCCTGACACAACAGGTAGCCGTCGATCTGTTGGTTGTTGCACCTCCGGTTCCAACATTTTACGACCGGAATCTTCATCATGGTCGTGAACAGGAGGTCCTCCCAACGTGGCTCGCTCTGGTAGCGGTTCCGGAGGTTGTTCCAGCCGCGACCATGCCCTTTCTCCCCCCTGGAGAGCTCGGGCACCCTCCGAAGAGTCGCAGGCGCAACCTGATAGGTCGGGCCTGCAGGTCTTTCATTCGACTTCCCCTTCCGGGGAGCGAGCTCATCGATCGTCTCAATTTCGGTGACGGAACCCGGAAGCAGCTTGCCGTTCTTCGTCCCCTCAACGACGGTCCGCCAATGCCTCCAGGCCTTCTCTGCGGTGAGGGTGTTCTCACTTCGGAAAAAGTTTGGGTTGACGTCGTGAGGCCCAGGCGCGAGCTCGGTCGTCAGTGCCTCGCGATACCGCTTGCGAAGCTCTGGGTATGCCCGGTTGAAGTAAAGGAATTCATTTTTGCGGGTATGGAAGGCGTATATGACATAGGCGTTTCCAACCCAGTCCGCGGACATGAAGGCCTCATCACTTGTGAATAGCCTGATCCCGTCCTGCATCATGAGCTCAGTGTCAAATGCGATTGTGACGGGCCTTCCGGCTCGCGTGCCTGCCAGCTTCCTCATCTGCGCCTCCCAGGGTGGCGTTGGGTTGAAGTAGACGTGGGCCCTGCCTGTCGACTTCGGATAGCCCCCCGGAACCAGGCCGAACTTGAGGATACTCTCGGCCGATCTGAGGTCGCAGGTGTGATAAAGGACAGCCGGAAAGCCTCGGCGCCATTGGTCAGTAAGTTCCGGGTGCCGCACAGCCCTCGGGTACTGGCCGGCGAGGTACTTGGCCGCGGTGAACTCCTCGTCAAAGGAATACAAATTTGTCAGGATCGCCTGCTCGGTGTATTTCCTTGTGAGCTCGTTGTGGTGTCCTTGCACGGCCCTCACCCGCAAAGCCTGATACGGCAATCCTTTCCAGGATGCTTCCCCCAATGGAGGGGGCCCAACCATCACGCGGAATCTGCGGGTGTTATTGTTCCGGATGCAGATCATCACCTCCCAGGGCATGACGTTGGCGATCCGGTCATTCAGATGCCTGACCAGCGCATCGAATTCCACCGACAGGTCAATGCCGCGAAACGGCGGGTGGGGCTTGCCGTCCTTGAATGCCCCTCCCCGGAGGAAATAGGACATTTTCTTCGAAATTGCTACCAGTCGGTAGTCTCGGTCCATGTTGACCTTCGGGACGTGCCCCATGTCCTCGACCTCGAGCCATTCGCTCTGCTCCTCGGCCGGGACCTTGGTATTGATCTTCCGGGTCCTCGCCCAGTCTTCCCAGAAGATCTTCTCTTGCTTAGGGTCTTTCTGCTTTTTCGACCGGGGTTCCCCCTCGGCGTTGCCCGGCGGCACCTTGGCCTTCGCAACCCTCGGCATCGCCTTCACCTGGGGCTTGTCGGTCGAGCCTGCAGCCGTGGGGTCCGACTCGTCTCCAATCTCAATGAAACCAGTCGACTGGGGTTCCCCCACAGCGTGCTTGCTAGCAGTTCCGCGCCTTGACGGCGGCGGGGTTGGTGGTTGCTTGGATGTGCTGGTGCCCTCCGTCACGGATTCGAAAGCGACCGACTCCGCGGTGATCATGGAACTCATCCCTGCCGCCTCGGACTCATCAGCCTCCGACACCAGCTCCACAGACGCCACAGTTTCTTGATCGAAAAGGTCTCCTTCCGCTATGATTATCGACTGGCCTTCCGGCGCAGCACGGTGAACTCCCGGGGGCAAATTCTCCGCATCCCATCCGAAGTCATGGGTGTCATCCCCCAGCAAGAGCCATTTGTCCTTGTCCTCGTCGTCGGGAACCTTGGACAGTCCGTGCTTCTCCGCCGTGATGTCGATGTACTGGGACATCGCAATCTCCACCCGGTCGAGTTCATCATCGGAGTTTTCCTCTCCTTTGTCAACGGCTTCGAGGACGATCTCGGACTCGTCGACTTTGGCTCCCTGCATGTCGATGGTGATGGCGTTATAGGATTCGTCCTCCGCCACCTTCATCCATGCCGCGACGTCGACGTCGATTTCGTCGCCCTCCTGGTCGTGAGACCAGTCGGGCTTCTCCTCCATGGCCGCGAACTCGTGAAGTGCTTTGGCTAGCTTCAAGCACGTTGGCCAGCCGAAAAGCACGGGGTCAACCGGCTCACCCTTCACGTAGGGCTCGACCCTCCCAATCGCTGGGAGGGCGTACCTGATCCGCTGGGCCAACAACTGTGTGTTGATTGCCGCATGAAGGAATTTCGACACAACCTTCCGGTTGGCATTGCTGTATGTCATGTGCACGTCATCGTACCTGTGCGCTAGCAATGTCATAACCGATGGGTCGATCGAGTCGATAGCCTTGACGCGGGTCCCGTCGTCGATGTCCCCGTCGGCCAGGTACCGAAGGCAGCCGTTCATAGCCTCGTTGTAATCGGACGTGAGGGCATAGTCCTCAGCGTCCGGGTTGCTGATGAAGGTAATGTCTCGAATGCGCCCGAGCCCAACCGCCTCCTTGAAGAAGTCAAGCTGCTCGTACACGCGAGTCCTCTGAACCTTCGGCCACTCTGACGCGGCCTTCCGGCCCGCCTCCGTTCGGTTGAACCTTTTCTCATGGATCCATCTGCACCCCACGAAACCATAGTTGCCGAAGACATCGTTTCCTCCCCATAACACATAAACCGAAATGGGAAGCTGTTTGATGCCTTTCTGGGAGTTGTCCTCGGCGAT